AAATGTTGAGGAGTGAAAAAAGGATATTGCACATTGCGAGCATAAATTATTCCTTACAGCTTTGTACAAAAAGAGGTGTGCGTTTGACCTCAACTTCCCTCTCGAATCACCGTGTCATTCTGTAAGGTACAGCAATAAACTGTGATGCTGCAGTACAAATGTCCATCCATTGCTGTACACCCAGAAAAGATGTAGGAAAGATTGGGCTGTCTTTCAGCCTTCCCGATGCCCAGATGCATGTCAGCGGGACATCAAATATTTGTCTTTGCCCAGCAAACAATGTGAAGAAGCTGACGGAGAGTGATGTGCGTGATGCATTGCTGAATCTACTTCATCATTCTCATCCGCAGCTGCATCACTCTGTATTTACTCACATTGGGCCACCACTCTCCTACATGTTTTTAAGAGGTGCATCTAGCCACGTTATTTCTCAATAGTATTTACCAGAGAATGAGTTGTATATTGCACGAATTCAGACACCTGAATAGTCCACAATGCGTTACCGCTTGTAGCAGTATCCTGCGTATACTGTTACTGCTTCCCCTCACTTCCCACTACATGGCAGTCACTTCACCTCGGCAACACTGAGTAGAATCGTTGACTTCATATCCCACCTAGACCTTTCTTCTCCGGTTTTAAAGATGCCTTCGAAATGACAGCCAAGACTGGTGAACTGATGCACACAGACATACACACATACACGGAGATACGTGGGTAATGACAAGCATTAGAGCACTTATGCATTTCTAGTAGACTGATATTCCACACCGCAATGCAACTCATCACTGCACACAATTTGAAGTGCTGTGCAGCTGAAAACTCATTGATTCACTGCTATTGTACTTCAACGTATGAAGTCACGTGACACACCGTCTTCCGAGCGTAATGCTAATGAGACGTAACTCTACAATTGAGGTGTGGAATAGGGTCTTGCCAATTGATTGGTGTGTTATGTAAGTCAGCACATATAACCTTACCACCTTGTGAAGGGTACGCTCATACGTGTTGAGGGTTCTATCCATCTACTGCACGGGATAGCTACTGCTGTGAGGAAGTCCATCACATGACATTTGTCAATCGGAGCCGAGGTACCTGATGACGAAGGCCATTGCGTGACAAATGCATATGCACCTCGTACAGCGCACACTACATCTTATTCGGAATCTCACCCACAAACGATGCATTCACATTTGCTCTTAAGGCATTGACACCGCGGCCTAGAAACGCAGCCTTAACCCCATCAACAAACACCTTCTAACTCTACCATGCCCACACTGTTCTGTGCTGGACAAAGTAGGTGTTTACCACACAGACTTCAGTTTGAATGACACTTGCATTGATGATCGAGTCAATTTAGCGTGGATACGATGCGCGAAATCCCCAAACGTACATTTTATCATAGGGTGAGTGAGACGAAACCGTTGAGCTTCAAATGGTTTAGTTTACTGGTGAGCGAATACTCTCCATGTATGAGAGGTCTAAATGTGCATGGTAGACAATTTGTGTGGCGAAAGCACGTGGTTACCTGAGAGTAGCAATTACTTTGATAACACTTATCAAAGTGTTACAGATAACATTAATTGGTGTTAGAGTTGAAGTGCCTTCCCCCTGGGTAGCTTGATTCCAAAAGGTGGGAAGGGCCAGGTGCGATTGCAAGCATTTGAGCAGCGTATTTGCTTCGCATTTCATAGAGTTGTTGTATCACTTTGTATCACTACCCAGATTCCAATTGAGAACCGCATAACATGAATAAAACGGAATTTCATGTTTAATGAGAAAAATGTTGATTTCTGGTATCTAAACTGCAGTGCAAAGAACACGTCCTCCTCTGTTGTGATACAATAACCACCTACCAGCCGACAATGATGTTTCTTCACATTAGCAAAATTGCGTCTTTACTCATTGAACACAGGTAGTGTTTGAATAAACGTGAGAATGAACAAGTGGAATTGCAAGTAACGGAAGCAGGAAAATATGAAGCAAACGAGAATATTTGAGAAGTAGAAGCAGAAAACAATGAACCACACATCAGTCCAGAGGACTAAATGCTGAGCGAATATTGCAAAGTAAAAGAAGGGACTGATAATGTGGTGATGTCAGCTGTATACTTTTCTCCATTTATTCCTCATTCATTCA